ATTGAACTATCTTGCTTTGCATGTAATAAGTCTCTCATATATTAGTTTCACCTTTTAAGTTGCATTACTGAAATAAATGAACTTTTGCACGATATTCTAATTTTTCGAGTTTCACCTGTATATTGGGTTGCAAAGCATTTGTAGAAAAGATAGGTGAACCAATAAAGTGCCATAGTTCATCTTAAAAACTTAAACTTTCAAAAATGTGATTAAAAGTAACCTTTTAAATTTTCATTTGTCCTAGAGTGGTTTCTATTCTACTTCCTCTGAATTTCAGATTACCAGATAGGGAGAAGGTACAAGTTGACTATGGCATAGTGGCAAAATATAACTTCTTCTGGATATGTCTTAAAAGAATAAGATTGTTTTTATGGGTTTATTGTCTCTAAGAGCTGCCATAAATGCTTGGCACGCTGTCTCTGAGAGCTGCCATAGTTTTTTTTGGCAAGCTTGTGTCTTCCAGAGAAAAGCTCCCCCATCCCTATGATGATTCAGAATTGGATTGTTGGTTATACACAGTGTTAGTTATCTAGTAGAGGAAGCAGAAGCAGAGTGATGAAGTAAGATACAATGCTACACAGATACAGCACAGAGGAAGAGGCAGGCAAAAAAACAGGTGGCATTCATAACTTTCCTCCCATTCTTCAAAGCAGTACATGCTTGGAGCAGCACCTGGCAGTATAAGCTTGGCTCACTATAACATGGAGCCTGCCTCTTTCATGCAGAATGTAAAAATAAGATCTGACCCCAAGATGCATTGTGAAGTGGCCAACTATCTTTGAGCCCTCAGAGTGCTGAAAGCTGAACCGAAGTCCCATTTGCCTTGATGAAACCAGCATAGAAGTGTAACAATCAATTATCATCAGCAAGTACAAAATAACATTTGTGGCCAGCTACAATAAAAACACAGACTGGTCAAAAACTGAATGAAACCTGAAGCAATATTAGCCTTCCTTTCATCCCTTTTGCAATGTCGCTTAGCAATGCACATTTGGGAGGGACAATAAAGACTTTGTGTACTGATAAATAAGACAATTAGCAATTAGCATCAGCAAACACTCAGCGATTGCATGGATTGGAAATAACATGCTCATTTACAGCGCTAACCTCAATTCACATTGGAAAAGCCTTATTTTTAGCCTGGTCTGCCTGTCCAGGATCTGAATGTTTGTGGATCTAAAATTTAAACATATCTCAGACCAATCCTGGGTGTGTATGGGAGAAATGCATTTTCCAAAATTTACATACCCAACAGTGTAAAAATAGTAAATTTACTTTTCTTCTCTGATGACTTTCTTAACTGCCTTTGACTTGTGTGTGTCAAACACACATCATGAGGATAACTTTGAAAGACATTGACTTGTAACTCTCAAAGATAGTATATTTACACTTTGAGACTCAAAGAATATAAAATATAAAGTCTCAAAGAATATAAATTTACTATCTTTGAGACTTATTAGCCAGTGTCCTTCAAAGTTATCCTCATGATGAGCTGTGTTAGACACATAAATAAAAGGCATGCATAGCATATTCTGTGCCACACAAATAAAAGGCATGCATGTTAATTTTCTGAGAGGGCTTATCCTCCTAAGTAAGAGTGTTGTAGAAATCCAGATAGTACCAGACTTCTAATCGGATGGAAGTATGGGAAAGAAAAAATCAGACTACCAGGTGAAACAACAAGTTTGGCAGGCAACAAGTTTGGCAGATTGGTATTTCAGAACCAGATGGCACTGTAAGCCAGCCAGGGGGATGTTGGCAGAGAGAGGCAAGCATAGAAAGAAAATACTGCCAAGTCTATCAAGAACTGAAATAATATGCCCAGGTGGAGCAGGCTTGGGTGGGCCTGGCAAAGACACTTGGGAGCTGGCATTCGAGGAACAGAAAGTGACACAAACATTCACCCATTGGACTGTTGCAGTCCACAACCCACCTGAATCATTCAGGACCAATACAGAAAGTACATAGACATGGGGAAGAGTCATGTTCTTAAAAGAAGTGAAGCAAAGTTTAAACAAAACATGGTTGGATGAAGAGTGATTTTTTAATAAAATAAAACATTTGACAAGATTCCGTTCTGATGATTCCTGATTGGGGAATACAGTTGTGTGATATTTCAGACTCAGCTGATAAAATGGCTATGGAATATGCAACAGCACAAATATACCTTCTTGGAACTGAAATCCAAAGCATCTATGGTCCTCAATATTTGCTGAGATTTTACTATTGAGCCTAATCCTGATGTAGCAGTAGCCTCAGATAACAAAGTGGGGGCATCTTTTGCTTGCTGGAAGGGATCCCATGCAGTGTCAGCTAAAAAGGTGAATCCTTCTTCTGTGTAGCTTCGGGAAGACTAATATACTTTTTTTAGATGAGAGAGAAGATTGATGATAATACTCCCTTCTTCTGCTGAGAGTCCTCCCACCATCTCCATTATAGTCTCTTCCCCAACAGAAAGCTTCTTTACCTTCCTCTGTGCCAAAGTATTAGTGTAACTGTTACTATTGGCACAGGGAGAGCAGCCATGCTGCTACCTTATATCTTTAACCACCCAAATAGCCAGGTGTAAGAAAAAGAATCACCACATTGCATTTTAAATTTATTTAATAAATGCATTTACTAGTTCAATTAAAAATAATGTGAGATGGAATGAGAGGAAAGAGCATAGATATATTGAATCTGGACTGCAGGAATTCATACAGTTTCTAGATGATAGCAAACTCTCTTTTCTATCATCTAGAGACTGTATGGATTTCTGAAGCCTGGATATGGGTAAGAGTAATTTGTGAATAAAGTTTAAAGAAGTAATTAGAGTGAAGGTTTGTTGAATAATGTATTTGAAGCTTTGACATCTCTATTTTATTGTGTGTAAATTGTTCCTGAGAGATGACACCCCAAATGTGAAAATGCAGAAGAGGGCATTGTAGGGGTAACGGTGAGAAAACGAAACAACTTGGCACTGCTTTGCAGAGAATTAAATTGTATCATTTGGGAGAAAATGCTCCTAGCCCTGCATTAGTCAGTGAAGGATGGAGGTGTTGAACTTTATAACTGTCAATATCCAACCTGGTTGAGAAGGTATAAACATTCTCCGCTACTGACAATTGAAAATGAGTGGAGGAGGAAGCAGAATCGAGACTACCATATATTCAATGGATTCTCTCTATAGAAGCAATTACATCATCTCTTTATTTTAGTGACTTTGCACAGAGCTTGTAAAGAATGTTATTCTGGTTACTGCTATGAGATTAGTGTTCTGACAAAGGCTAAGGGACTGTAATTAAGCACACGCTTAGTTAAAACAACTCTTGTTTTATTTCAATGCTGGGAATTATGTTCATTCCCAGCCTGTAATGAGTCCCAAACAGTCCTTCGAGATAAGCACCACCTTTCTCTCCTTTGAATTGCTGCGAACAACTAAAGTGTCAAATGAACTATAAAAAACCAACCAAAGTACAAAGTCCACATGGAGCTTCAAGGATCAATCTGAACAGAACAAATAAAAGGTTTCTTCACCTTTGCCTGTCCTTTATACCTTATGGGCGGGGCAATCATCTCCAAGCCCTACTCCTGAGTCACCCCTTTTGTCTCACCTGCTCTTGCCTTCTAGCAGCTCTGTGCACATGCACGCTGGGAACAGGCTCCCCTTGTTCTTCTGCCTTGCTGCTGCCAGACTCCAGAGGCTCCAGAGTCAGCACACCACTCCCAGATGGTCCTGGCCCCATCTCTGCATCGGATGCAGAATCCTCATCCGAGTCCTCTCCAGTCTCCTGGACTGGTCCCCATTCTTCTCCACTGTCCGATTCTACCGCCGTTTGCGCCGGCTACCAGTGAACCACAACAATTAGAGGCAAGAGATGTGAAAGCTTCCTTATGCAGAATCAAATAACTAATCACTCTAATTTACCATTAGCTCTCTGGGATTTTTGGCAAGAAAGGTTGAGGACTGAACTTATATCCTTTGTTCTATCATTGGTCTAAAACTTAAAACTTCAGGTATCATGGACTAGGAAAGCAGCAATGACTCATTGCTTTTAGAAGCAAGGCAAGGAACCATTTTATCCCTCAAAACAGGTGATGTAACACAGAATTGATAAAAATAATTGTAGAAGCTTTTTTCATATTATTTTGTGAAGTCACATAGGTGAGATGGGTATGTAGTAATGTGATAAATAAGTTGTTCAATAAATCAGGAGCAATCAAGCAAGAAAGCTGTTCAGAAAGCAGTAGGAATACAAGTAAAGTAAAGCAACTGAATAGTTTCATGCATGACACTATAAACCAAAACTATTGCAGTATTTATTAGTTTAAGCATCACGTAAGAAATTTTATCATCTAAGTGGTGAATCCCAAAGAAATATTTTGTCCTAGTAGCATTATTTTAATTTGAAGGAGACATCCAATCTTGTTGGATTACATGGGGCAAAAAATAGCCTCTAATTTATCAATGGACCAGTTAAGCATTTGCAAGTAGAAACTACTGCCAACCATTGTGTCATTCACAGTTCCATTCCTGTGATTTACTGTTCACAAACTATCAGGAGAGACAATTGTTTCATATGGGTTTCTTTCACCCCTGGACACATTTTGTTTCCACATAGCAATCAGGGACCATTGTCTAACATTAGTGGAAAAAGTCCTTTTCTTTTCTTTTTTTCCTTTTTGTAGAGGAGAGTTAAAATTATTTGAGTTCCTGTGTCATTAACAGATTCTGCTCATTCTTCAGTGGCTATTCAGAATGGTGCCAAAAAGAGAGAGAGATGAATTGGCTCAGCTCTAGATCATGTCTGTTTAATCATTCAATTGTCAACTCTAAAAGCTTCCAAATCACAAGGAAAATAAAATGTGACTTGGCAAAGGAAAGCTGGCATGATTAGTGCATAATGGACTATGCCATCTAAGAAACATTCAGTGAGAAAAAGAGCAAATTTCAGTGAAAAGATGGCTTGAAATGCATTTATTCATATATACGGATATATATACAAAAAAACAGTATTCAGTAAAAAAAAAGTATTAAAATCATTTCTATTATCTACCTAAGTAGAATTCTACTTCTCAAAACCTTTACAAAAGAGTACTGTTTTAACAACTTTAGCAGTGAGGAGGACATCCTGACTTTACATGACAAACTGCTAGAGTGTGAGGAAGTTGCTGCTTATATGGTACCCATGGGATTTCTTCTTGGCTAGAATAAATTGGGTGTGCAATTCCACTTGGGGTAAACAGACCTAATAGAAAGAAAGATACAGATCTGGAAGGACTTTATGGGCAATAATAGCAGCTTGAATTGGCCCCAAAAGTCTATGGACAACCAACTTCTGGATCATTCTTAAGAGCAGCCTTAAGTACAGAAGATTACAACAATAAAACCAGAATTAGCTACTTTTAGCACTTCTTGATCCTCAGCAGCTGCCATCCTAAAAATGAAGAATTCAAGGTTCTTTTTGTGCCTTAGATGGTTTTTTTCCTTGAGTGGGGGACAGCATTTAATAGAATGTGGCTGATTTTTGATAATAGCTAAACAGGCCAGACCTGATTAGTATTTGGATTGGACACTGACAATCCCAACTTGAAAAAAAAGCAGAAGTAGACAGTGAAAAAGCTCTTCTATATTATTGCCAAAAACCATGCTGCCACAATTTACATTTCTTAACTAAAATCCAGATAAAATATTCTAATATCTTTGCAATGTTTAATTTGCTATATAACAATAACAATAATAATAATAACTCACCATTACGCTAAGAATAATTTAGAAAGTAGTTGCAAAACCTGTAACCTTCTGATACCGATGGATTAAGCATACCATTCCAATTAGTCAGCATGGCTGCTGATAAAGGATGCTGGATATTATATTCAGCAACCTTTGGAGGGCCACAGATTCCCCCTCTCTGACAAAAAGAATTTGTTGGACCAAATGTGATATGAGGATTTTTGTTTAATATGCATTGATCCAACTGAGAGTTCTTTAAAGTATGACAAAGGATATGGCTGTGTTCAATGACCGCATTATAAAAAGCCATGTAATGGCTAGGAAAAAAATAGCATTTTTATTTTCCACACTTTCATTTTTAAAATACATCCTTACAGAAACTAGTTGTAGTTTTCATAGCAAAGCAACCAAATAAACACTCCCTTGGTACTCTGAAGACAAACATATTTACTTGTGAAATATATTTTGCTCAACTATTTCACCAGATGCTTTATCACATTTGTCTTGATTGCACAATAGAGTGGAGTTATTAAGGTATATTTAAAGAGGATTGCTTCAATAAGCAAATTAGTAATACTCTGCTATTTAGGGGAAAGAGAAGAATTTGATGAATGAAGGAGAAGGATCCTAAAAGCCAGAATTGGCAACAGCTATAGATATGTGTTTGCTTTGAATTTCCAACCTTTAAGGCTTTATGTTGAAAACATCCCCATATTTATAGGAAAATATGTCTACTAAGACTCCAAGATTTGCAATAGCCACAGATAGTGAGCACATCAATTGTATCTTTTTACCCAGAAGGAACAAAACATATTGCTGGAGTGGAAAAGCTGGCAGATGAATACACTTCTAATTCATGAATATAGAAACTCCACTTAGAAGACCTACAGAGAATGAGTGCATTTTCTAGTCATTCAAATGTATCGCGGTTTGTAAATTCTGTGATCAGTCAACTAAACAATGTACTTTATTGAGCTCTAAATACCTCATTTAAGTAGAACTTTGCATATGTGAGTGAGACTGCATTAAAATAATATGCTGTTTTAACTGAGCCCAGATTTAGGAACAGAAGGGAAGTATTTCATCCATAACAGACTAAGGATCTCTTTTTGAAAGTAGGCACCCAGCAATGTCACAATATTTAATTTTATTGTTAAAATATATTTTCCTTTGCTGGATGCATTTATTTTTAATTTACTTTAATACATTATAAAGTAATAGTAACATACACTGATTGAAGGCTTCAAGAACTTTACTGAAAAGGAAGACCGCTATTATAAATTTTAGTATAAGTTACTATTCTTATGCTTTAATCTTTTCCTTTTTTCATTTATTATGTAGTTTTTAATTAGTACCAGCACTAGACATAACAAGACGGAGTAGCATTTTTCTTTAAAGAAAGTTCATCTTACAATATACTTACCAGAGTGGATACAGAATTAACAAATATAAATCCCATGGAAGTAGAAAAGTGGAAAGCAGTAATGATAACAGACAGTATTAGTAGGCTGAGAAATTACAGGCTTCCCCCCTCCTTTGGTCTTGGTGGGATTTTAACGTTTAAACATAAAATCACTTCACAGAGAAAGAGATACACAGAAAAGAACTGGAGTAGATCTTAGATAGGGCTCCCACTCACTGTGAGAATATGCCCAAAAAACAAAACTAAAATTTGAGCAAATGCCACTGTTGTGCAGCCTATAAAATATACAATATGCTGCCTATTGACTGGATGAAGAATGATATGCATGGCCCTGCATATTTAATTAATTAATTATTTTTTAATGTCACCTATTTCCCTACAAAGTGATTGAAGACTGAATTGCATCCTCAGTAGTACAGTGCCCAAGATTAAATATAATCCTTGAATATATACATTAAACACTACAATTGGCAGCAGGTATCTAAGATTAAAGAATAAATCCTTTTCTATATCTAATTAATATATGACAACTTTTAAGCTATAAACCTAGGTTATCTTTATTTAGGTAGATAAATAAACCTTTCTTTTAAAATTACCTGAAAGTACTTTTAAATGCTAAGAAAATTCAAAAGTGAACCAAATCATGTTTACTAGTTAAAATTATTATATTGGCATATAGAACACCAAGGCTAAATTCTTGCCATAAGCTCACAATCTAATTTGTCTTGATATTCACATTGAGAGGAAACAAAGCTTTCACTAGGATGATATACAATTGATTTGCTGTCAGGTGATAAATAGTGCTAATGGTATTGGGCTTATCTATTAACAAAGAATTGATCATCACAGTGAATCCAAAGTTCATGGAGAAAATATAAATCTCTATTTTTGATATTAAGAGATGAGTTATAGAAGCAAAGAAAACATCCTGAGAAAAGTCTATAAGTCTATTTGATTCTCATGTTTAAAACTAGATATAAAGTTTTGTCTGAGTTACTTTGTTAGGTGTATTTTATGACATAGATATGAATCTTCATGCCAGAAAAAAGGTCCATTTCCTATAAGATATGCTATCCATGCATGCATGCATGCTATCCATGCATGCATATTTCCTATAAGACATGCTCTCCAGGCATGTATATTTGTTCCTGGGTTGGATGAGCAAAGAACATTGGAAATGTAGGCCCAAAGTATATAACCCCAGCAGGGTCACTTGAGGCTTGAAGCCAGTCCAGCTGTCCTGCTAAAGCAAGGGCATCAAACTCGATCACATTACGGGCCAGATCGTGATGTATCGCAACATTTGCCTTTCCGGAGCCAGGATGGGCATTGCCTGCATGTGAAGTATCCGGCCCATGGTCCACCAGTCTGGCAGGCCTGTGCTAAAGCAAGGAAGTACCTACAGTACCTACCCTGGGACATATATTTGCTCTTGTTGCCATGCAGGAAATAAAAATTTGAAACTGCAAATGTACAATTGGAACATACAATGTAAGAAGCATGAATTTGGGAAAGCTGAAGACAGTGAAAGATGAAATGGACTACATATTACATCTTACGAATTAATGAATTGATAGAGAAGAGGGGAAGGTTGAGTTTTATGATCAAATTCTATCTGAAATCAACAGAACATGTAAGCAAGACATGCTGTTTGTGATTGAAGACTGGAATGACAAAAATTAAAAACATTTAGGGAAAAATATAGTGCATGGCCTAGGAAACCAATATTAAGCAAAACACTATCAAGTGTTTCCAATCAATGCATCATTACTTTACTCCTTTTCTACATTCTGCAATAGCACTTTGACTTATATACTGCTTCACAGTGCTTTACAGCCTTCTTTAAGCAGTTTACAGAGTCAGCATATTGCCCACAACAATCTGGGTCCCTCATTTACTGACCTCAGAAGGATGAAAGGCTGAGTCAACCTTGAGCTGGTAAGAATTGAACTGCTGAACTACTAGCAACAGGAACTCAGCAGAAGTAGCCTGCTAAACTGCATTCTAACCACTGTGCCACCACTGCTCTGTGATATCACATGCACATCAAAAAAGTATGGACCTTGCAGCATGACACATTGATGCTGATAAAAGATCATTTTAATAAAAGTAACAACAGTCTATCAGTGCTTTTATGTCAGTGCTTTTATGGGTTCATGTAGCCCTTTCAAACTTTTTGAATTTTTATTGTTGAAATCCTACTTATAACATGATTCAGGAGGAATAGAATGAATTTGTACTTACTCACTTTTGCTAAAAGTTCTTCCTGGGCAGTGGTGGGATTATTATTATTTTTTACTATCGGTTCTGTGGGTTGGCTTGGTGGGCGTGGCATGGCTTGGTGGGTGTGGCTTGGTGGGCATGGCAGGGAAAGAATACTGTAAAATGTCCTTTCCCTCCCCACTCCTGGGGGAAGGTTCCTGCAAAATCCCATTCCTTCCCCACCACACTGACCTGCTTTCCAGCTCTGTCTCCTGTGCAGGGCAACAAAAGAAGACCAGCTGGGACTTGGGAGGCAGATAATAGATGGGGGCAGGGTCAGTCAGAGGTGGTATTTCTCCAAACTACTCCAAATTTCCTCTAGGTTCTCCAGAACTGGTCAGAACTTGCTGAATACCACCTCGGTTCCTGGGGCTTCTCTAATATTTACTGTATGACACCAATAGCCTGCTCAATATGCAAGCATATAGGAATAATAACAGTTTGTGTTTTTTATAGTTTTATCTATCAACAGTCACCTACATCTATCTAGATTTAGAATGCAACTTACACTATATGACAGTGAAAAAGGTAATCTGAGAAATGCATTGATAAGAAAGATAATTTTCTGTAATTCAGAGACAGTTCTGAAATTCAGACTCCATAATTTTCTTG